TAAGCCAGGTTTGCTTTGGAGAGAGGTGACACAGCTCATTACTAGGGTAGTTTTAAGTACTGCTAGATGATTGAGGCTATGTTGGTCTTTGGACATCCTGCTGTCCAAGCAGGTCCCTACGTACTTTGCAGTACATTGCAGAGTTAATGCTGAGCAACTCAAGGAAGGGGTTCTGACCAAGGCTGGCATCTGTGATGCCAGAGTGGCTCTCAGGACTAAAGCTCTTTGTGATGTACAACCTTACTAATAACAGGAAATTATGCACTGAGTATATATTTGTATCTGAATGGACTGGACTTTCAGTATAAAATGCAGAGTCTACTGAAAAGGTTCTTCCAAGTATAATACTGGTGAGAAAGTATGGGGGAAGGATATTTTGAATGTTCAAGTATGGGAGTTTCCACTAGCTCAATGTGCTATCTATCTGCTGCATAGAAATCTCTGCCTGCTGCCTCACTCACAGAACAATTTGGGGGCATTTTTTTCTGCTCAATTGCAACTCAGTTATTCACTATGCTCCTGAGGGGCTTTTGCCTATGAAACATAAACTTGGTTCCTACAATATTAATGGATTTTTATTATTATTATTTCCTGATTTATATACACTTTACCCTGTCTCTGGGAAGACTTTTCTTTTGGTGGCTCTTATATCAATTAGAAGGAATAAAAAGATTGAAAGTATTAAAATATATATACCATGCACACAGAGGGGATGGGCACTTTTAATGCCCCAAACCTGGGAGCAGCGGCTGATACACCAGAGGGCTGTGCTGCCATTGAGAGGGACCTGGCCAGGCTGGAGAGATGGGCAGACAGGAACCTCATGAAGTTCTTCAAAGGCAAGTGCAGGGCCCTGCATCTAGGCTGGAATAACCCCATGCACCTGGACAGGCTGGGGCTGACCTGCTGGAGAGTGCTGAAACACAGGAAGCTCCACTGAAGATGAGGAAAAATCTCTTTTTTCCTGTGAGGGTGACAGAGCCCTGGGGCAGGTTGTCCAGAGAGATTGTGGAGTCTCCTTCTCTGGAGATGTTCAAAACGCACCTGGACGCAATCCTGTGCAATGTGCTCTAGGTGACCCTGCTGGAGCAGGTTGGACTTGTTGAGCTCCAGAGGTGCCTTCTAACCTCAATCATTTCTGTGATTGGACTTGTTGATCTCCAGAGATGCCTTCTAACCTCAATCATTTCTGTGAAAACTGCTGGGGATAAAGCTATGGACTCATTGGAAGTTCCTTTCCAAAGATGACTTCCGAGTTTTGACCAGTTTAGGATATTATCTTTCCTGAGTCTGTCCTTTCTTACATCGCACCAGTCCACAGCAAAAAGGTAACATACAGATAAGCTACATGTTCTAATTGTTAAACACGCTTTCTCTTTTTATTCAGGGACTCTGAGGAGGGCGCCTCTAAATTTCATCTTTGTTCTCAGAGATGATCCTACATGATTGCTATCGGGTCTGTAATCTGCAGACCTGTTGCTGATACAGGAAGGGCGAATCTGCTGGATGTGATCTGAGCCCACTCAAGGAGGGCAGATACCTCTGTAGATACCTTCAGCTGGGGAGGCCAGCGTGCTAAAAGAGACATCCTGTCTGGATAGGAAAACATTTAGCAAAATGTTGACATTGCTGTCAGTGTCAGCTCTGTGCTTTGTGCTTTCATACACTGCCCTAAGTATCCAACCTTATCAGGCAATCAAACTCCTGCTGTAGCTGCTTTTAGGATGGAAAACTAAATTGTTTTTGAAAGCCTGTGCATCCCATCTCCATATCTTCTTGAAAATCGATAAAAGATTTGGTTGGTGAAGCTGGCAGAAATATGTGCTTACTTAGTGAGACATCTTACTGAGAGGAGATAATACCAAGGCTCCAGTTTAAGGTTTCCACAGTGACCTGTACATTTACAAATGACAAATCATGTCTTACTCCCTGTTGCGCTGCCAGCTACAGAATGTTGGAGTTAACATCTACAAATAAGAAAATTAAGAGTGTTTTCTTTGATGGGTCAAGGAAACTGGTACTTGCCTGCAGAACTACATCACCTGGATGTGGTGGTAGTAGAGGCTTTCCATGAAAGATCTATTATCAGTCATTTACAGAGGTGGTCATATGTTTCTTTCAGTAAAGGAGAAATGGGAGTAATTAGATAATAGGGCCAGTTTCTTTTTAAATAATCAAATGAACATTTCTGCCAAAATGTTGATATGAAGTTTGAATTTAATCTAAATTAATACACCAGATCTGGGGATAGATCTGGGGAGAGCTCTGATAACTCAGGAAGCCATGATGAAGCTAGCTGGAGAGTTTTAAAAGAGGAGGAGAAGCAGTCACAGGAATTCATCTTGCCACCTTGTGATCCCAGAAGCAACTGGACCATAATGGGGAAGGGTGATAAACAGGAACTGAGCTCAACAGCTCTTCCAGACGGAGCTAAGAGATGCGTCTTCTGTGAAGCTATTCGCTATCCCTCTAGTATATTTGTACTGCTTTGAATATAGAGCTCATATTGTTTGTTTACCTAGAAATAAATGAGGCAGACAGCTCTCAGCCTAGGGACTGTACGGATGTCTGCACTGCTGTCTTGTTGAGGAGGAGTTTCGGGAGAGCTTGGAGAAGAGCCGAGAGGCTGCAGGTCTCTTTGGGCTCTGCAGAGCCAATGTGACCTGCATTTTGCCATGCTACGGAGGATGAGAAATCACCCCTGAGAAAAGATCAGGGAGGATATGTTTCCGCTGATGTGAATGTCTGTACATTTAAATAAGTTGTCCTCGGTATATGTAACAGCAACAAATGAAGAAGCCTAGATAAATGATGTTTATATGGAATGTTAGTCAAGTTCTGTTTAAAGATCGTCAATAATATTTCACATATTTCCTGGATAATGCAGCAAGGCAAAGTGCAGTGAACAATTTCTCAGTATCATCCTATTACAATTTCTGCAGTTACTCAATTTGCAATAATATTTTAGGGCTGGGTACAGCCATTTCTTTATCTTCTTGGGAGGTAAGAGAGTAGAATTTCAGAAGAAGTAAGTCCTTGACCTGCTCTTGCACCCTCGGATTTTTCAGATGCAAGACACTGCTTTTGCTATATGGTTGGCAGCTCAGGTGCAACACACGAATTTCAGACCGAACTGTTGTCTTTAATATGTGGCTGCCTACTGAAAATGCATCTCAGCCAGAGTCCCCAGCACCACAGATGCAAGGCATGGGCCCTGTTTGGGGAAAATCGTGTTCTACAATTCTCGTTTCCAGTTTCCTTCAACCAGAGGGGAAGGGAGACGGGGAGCTGGTGGAAGACTTTTTCCAGTTGGTGTTCTCCGGACCACGCTTTCTAGATGCAACAGGGTTCTGAGGGCCTCCTTCTAAGTTGGAGGAAAGGTCCATATCTGTTCCTCCTGTAGCATCAGAGAGAAGAAGCATTGAGTCTAGGGGCCAGGAGAAAAGAACAAGACAACACAACACTTGTGAGTCATCATAGAGGAGACATTTCTGATGTGTGATGCAGAATTAACTAAGCAGTCTCAAGGAGAATGGAAAGAAGTGCAACTATATACTGATAAGATAAAAAGAATTATTTTTTTCATGTTGCTAGGCTATATGTTTTCATGGGTCTGTCTGCATAGGTGAAGGAAGCAGTGTGGGAGAGTAGAACTAATCAGGACTGCGTTGGGGTGGAAGTAGAGATGAAAAATAATGTGTGTTTAGGGAGCAGAATCAATTGGGAACCTGCATTTTAGGGTGCTTGGTGGGACCCACGAAGGTTAGGATAGGAAGAAGCAGGCAGAGCAAAGTAAGAATTGAAAGTCAATCATCTGTCCTTAATTTTGCCTCACATTCCAAAATTAATTCCCACTTCCAAGATTCTTGTCCTCTTTCCATCTTTAATGCAAAGGCAACTGCGTAAGGGGAAGAAAAAGCCTTATGTCTTTCCTAGGCCAAAGGGCCAGTGCTCCACCTGCCTTTTACATACGTTGGTAGTACATAGGGCTGGTATGAGGTATTTGTGTTCTTCCTTTATATTAACTTTAGGAGTGGAGGGAGAGGAACAACAGAGGAGTTCGCTTATCTAAAAAGTTTTACCCCAAACTTTTCTAAGATTGCAAATTCAGCCTTTCCAAACTGGAATTGCTATGCAAATTTGAATGCACTGTTTCCTGGAAAGCTTGATGTTAGCCAGTATAGATTCTGTATATATGCACATTGACACATATACCCTCTATGAGTAATTTTTTTTTTGAGCTTTATAACCCACAGAGTTATTCAGTATATTTTGATCTAGCTCTGTTTTTATAAATATGGTCAGGAGCCGCTCTTGCTTTCTGAGAGACAAGAATTGTTATAATAAGCTGATGTTTTAAATTTTGCAATGTAAAACAACTCAAAAAATTACTCAAGGAGAAGATCAAGATAGTACTGTTCTTCTAAAATGAGAGACAGAACCTCCATGTAAAATGAGAAACAAGAGGATGGACGCATTACCATTCCTGAGCAACACCTGAGTATGGCATACTTTGATAACATGAGTCTCTCAGGACACGAGCTCTGACTGCTGGGCTTTTCAAATCCCAGCAGACTTTTCTTTGGCACAACCTCTAAACTGATTTTTATGAACACCATGCACTTTTTCAACACACATTCTCACAAAACCTGCTTTACTCTAACCTACTTTAAAAAGAAATGTATGGAAAGAAATATGAACTGCCAGCCCTCTCCAAATTCTGGAGGGCTGTGAGTTTTGAGCTCAGGTAGGGCCGTCCTGCGTGGACCCTCAGCTCCTTCTTGCAGAGAAGCTGAAATTTCTATTTATTCCCTGCTTGTTTCCATTATCTCTCTCTGCCTGAGCTCATTCGCAGCTGTCTTCATTATTCACAGTTCCGAACTGATGTAAAGAGAGAAAAGCAAATGTTTTCCGTGTGTGTTAATTGGGAGCATGCTTTGCTACGGGAAGCAGCAGGCGCTGCCGTTGCGAGAGCAGTAACTGTTGCTGTTGCCTCCCAGGAACGTCAGCTCGGCGGGAGAGGAGGCCCGCAGGAGGATGAGGGAGTGCGACGGCCTGACGGATGCACTGCTCTACGTCATCCAGTCTGCTCTGGGGAGCAGTGAAATTGATAGTAAGGTTTGTCATCTTTGTCCTTTCAGGAGAGGGCAAGCCAGGTACTCAGGGTACCTCAGGACTGCTAAGTAGAACTAAAACCAGTGTGGTGGGCTTACAAGGCAAGAAAAGTGCGGAGCGGTTGCCATTAAAAAAGCGGAAATTAATAGACAGTTCTACGTTGTTACCAACATTACGTCTGTTCCGAAGAAGATCAATATATTTTTTTTAATAATAGCTGTCTTAAGTCAATACAAAATATATCTTTAGTTCTCTGAAAATGCTGTAATATGAACGTGCTTCTCCAAAGGTGAAAGGCACAACTTACATAAAATGATTTCAAAAATTTATAAATTGAAGGTTTCTAATATAATATGCATTAAAATATTTCATAATATGAATTATGCATATTATACATTAAAGTATTTCAGAGGACGAAAATGCTAGTTTCAGGTGTATTTTCACTGGCTATATATTTGGGTATATATGGCACTGAAGTAAGTACAGCTGTTGCTTCAGAACAACCTTTGTCCATTTGCAACCCCCTAAGAATTTTATAGCAAGAGAACACCTTTCTTTCTTCACAGCAAAATGCTAAAGCCTACTGGGCTTGTATTTCTGAAGTATTTTTCACAGGTAGTTGTCTGTTGACCTATATGGATTTAAAGAATGCAGAACGAAAATCAGGTTTCCATCAATAAAAATTACTGAGAAGTGAAGGAGAGCCCTCCACAAGGAAGGCACCGCTCTCAGAAAAGGCTTCAGAGCAAACTCAGCTGGTGTCAGAAACCTCCCACCCCTTCCTGTCACCTCCTGCAGAGCCGCTCAGGAAACATGGGGGTAGTTCTTGCTTCATTAGCTGTTGGAAAAGGTGAACTGGGGACTCTTGCAAAGTTCCCTGATTCAGCTTGTGGAATAGGAAGTAAAACTTAGAGGGCTTCACGGAAGCAGAGTGGGAGGATTAAGAGCAGAGAGTTAAGAGGGAATATCCCCTTCTCACAGCTCAGCTGCTGCAGTTCCAACCCCATCTTTGCAGGTGACTAGACTGACTTCACGATTGCTTTAATTCCAAAGGCTAAATTAGGAGTGTGATAATCTCTTGGTTTTGCCTTTTATCATCAATATAGACCATTGCCTTTATACTCTGTTTTAGAGCTGTTAAAACTTGTAAAACTGTGGACAAAGTCATATGGAGAAAAAATAGGGCCATGACAGAAAAATGGTTGTCCCTGCCTTGGTAGTTTTAACCTCCCGTTTTACATTTTTTTAACTGTTTAATATAAAGCAATTGTGTGGTTAAGTAGCTTCATCTCCCGAAGTAGAATATAGTTTTATTTAGCCTACATATTTAAGTAAGTGAGCCTAAATCACTCTTTAATCTAGCTTCAAAAATGGTTTCATTTAACGAAAAATGCACCTTTAAAAACGAATTGTAAGTTTTGTTTTCCCAATGCCGTGGTAATTGTGCTATTAGACACAATTATAAGGCTGCTAGTGATAAAGAACAAAGCATTCATCCAAAATGAAATTGCAGTATACCGAAAGAGGGCATGGAACTCACAGGCATGTGCGGAGTTGCTGCTAAGGTTCCTCCTCATGTGGGTAAACATAGGAATGCCTGAGTCTTCACAGCACTAGGAACCGAGGTTGTGGGGCTTATTATAAACAAAGAAGAAAAAGCTGTGATGCTTCAAGTTGCAACATTAAAAATAATGAATTAGATGTGTTTTACCTAACAAAGTTACTATCCTTAAACTGCACTTGATTGATTAAGTAATACTGTCAAAGTCATATCAAGGCCTCTTATGGTGACTCTTAAAAATTCTTGTAGGTCTAACAAGTACAAGGCTCATCAAATTCAAAAGTACAAATCAAAGAGGAGTAAAGCTTGGTTAGATATGTGAATTGAAGCAGCTTTATAGGCCTGTCCAAGTTCATCTTCATGAAAGTGGTGTCTGTTGCATGTATGGCCCAGATGTTTGCATCTCAGCATTTAGTTTGAGGCAACGTTGTCCTCACAGTGGACTCAGCTAATTTGGTTTTGGTATAGATGTGGATTTTAAGTGTGAAGATTGTAATTCCTAAAGAGGTGAACCACAATTTAGGATGCTAATAAACACATAGTTCAATTTCTGAACATTATATCTGAATAGAAGTAAATATTCACAATTTTAAAATAATCCGGTGTTTGTAGCATTTTTTTTTGGCTGAGATGGAAGTTAGGTTGCTTTGTGTGAGAGCTTAGGTTGTCTTGATCACACTTTTCATCCTCAGCTTCTGTTTACACCTTGGACTGCAGAATGAAGCTCAGAAACATGTTAAAAAATAAAATGAAAAAATAGTGTCCGAACTGCTGTTTCTTCCATAAAAGGAGGGTGTGAGGTTCTGCCAATATTTCTGAATCTTTCAAGCAATGGTTGCCTAGGAAGCACTCAGAAATGGGTAGAAAAGAGCTGTGCTGGGCCAAAATACAAAGATCAATGATATTTCTTCTGCTTTGTATACAGAGTGAACAACGGATGAATTTTAACCTTTTTTTCTCGCTTTCTATGTTTGTTTATGTGTATTTTCTGTCATTCTTTTCAGACCGTTGAAAACTGTGTGTGCATTTTGAGGAACCTCTCATACAGGCTAGCTGCAGAAACATCTCAGGGACAGCAGATGGGAACAGATGAACTTGATGGATTACTGTGTGGTGATACCAATGGAAAAGATGCTGAGAGTTCAGGATGCTGGGGGAAGAAAAAGAAGAAAAAGAAATCCCAAGATCAGGTAATGAAAGCTACTTGCAGCTGCATGCAATTAGTTGAAGTACCCACCTTTAAAACATAAATAATGCACTGCATTAGAATTAAATTGCATGATGCACAGTGTGTGGAAGCGTTACCATTGTTAATTAGCTGAGAGTTTAAAGCAGAGTATAGTTGTGAAATAACTTCATAAGACATATTTGCTTGCGTGTTACACAGTGGCACCTAGAAACTGTAGTCATGGATACACTGTGAATGCCATAAATAAATACTGTAAACTGCTCAGTCTGTTATAGGGAGCTATTTATATTTTAAAGTGAAAAATCTTTAAATTGAGATGTAATCCATGTATAGTTTATGCTCTCTATCTACTGTCACATCTGCGTAGAGGGGCCCTAATGCAAACATCAGGCCTGTACATACATACATACATACATATATATATATATATATATATATATCTGCCTAAATACAAATGTGTGTGTGTATTTGCTAACTTTGAGTTAGTTCATACTCTGCCTCTACAAGTTAAGATAAAACTGTACAGGACCGAATCAAAGAATATAAGTGAATGCAAAAAAAGAGCACACAGTTGGATATATTTAATGTTGTTACCAAACAAAGGTTGTGAGAAGTGCACTCTTCATCTGTTATTCAGATTATCTGAGATGCTGTGGGTGGGTTGATTTGGGTGTATTTATTTTCTTATTTTGGTGCTCGAACTAAAAATTTGAGCAATGCTCACAGAATGATATTACAGAGGAAGACCTTCTTGTAGCAGTTGCACATACACAATGGCAATGGCCACTGGCTTACAAACTTCTTTTCAAAGACCTCTGACGGCAGGAGATGTTTTTACATCTCTCTTTGCAGACTTATTCCTTTCTATTGCCATTTATTTCTGCTTCAGATGGCTCAAAGGCAGTATGATTTTGAGCCAGCAGTTAAGCACACAGGGATTTGCAATGAATTATGTGAACCATTATTGAAAATATTTTTGAAGTTGTAAAGGCAAGTTCTGTTAACGTGTAAATGTTATAGGGACATTAAAAGTTTTAAGATTCAGGTATTAAAAAGTGCAGCACTTACAGCTAGTGATTTCAGCTGTACTTTTTTGCATTTATTATGGTCTTTTGTTGAGTTTCATATATTATGTTGCAAAGAAATCAAAAGCGTCAAAGCAACCTAAGAATTTTGTCACATAAAGCAGTCATCTCTCTGCCTATAGTAACAGGTCCCGCAAATAATGCTTGCAGTTATCCAAAGAGAAGGTCCAAAAACAGCACGTGTGAATGAGTATAGATCATATTGTAAGGAAACCTAGTCCAAGTAGTTTTGGGTGTTTTGTTTTGTTGTTTTGTTTTGTTTTTTCTTTTAAGAAAAAAGATCTTTCTGCTTCGTTGGCTTTATGATGATCCCGCAGTGTTTTAGTATCCGCGCTATGTTTGTTCTCGCTGGAAAGCAGGTCCATCCGGAGGTACCTAAACTTTCTCTCCCTTTGGATTGTGTTGCAGCCAGGAATACCCCTTTACTATTTTTGCGTGCGCTTAAAGAAGTCACTGTTCTTGTGTGTTTTATGCCAAGCAATAGTCTTTAATAACTGGATTGTTTTGTGTTTCTTGGACAGAATCTCTCTTCTCTGAATTAAGCTTCTCTGTGCTTTCTGCACACTCCAGGATCATATTTTCACGTCTCCTTTCACAGTAAATTGCTTCCCTGTGCGCTGAATGATCCCCTGTGTTTTACACACGCATACATGTTCGTTTACATTAAGCTCATCCTTTTTCTGCAAGATTGGTGAATTTTTCTGGGGAATCTGTTTGTGGTTGAGCTGTTAATGGACATTGTTCCACCCCTCACAACAGAACACGTGCTCTCCTTGTGATAATGTTTTTAGGGAGTTCATTCCTTTGAAACCATCAGCAGGGAAGCTTTTATCCTCCCAAATGCCTCAAAGTATGCTTCCAAAGATCTCTCTTGTGACCAGCAGAGTTATACATCTGAGGTTCCACATGGAATCTTAAAAGGATGCAATAGTTTGCAGTTAAATACTTAAAACACTGCGATGAAACACTTAATGCACTATGCTTGGCCAAGATGTTATGATCTGTAGAAGGAAACCTCAAAGAAGAAATGTAAGACAATATAGATATAAAGGTAGTCAGTTACCCAGTTGCCTCATAAAGACATTGATTTAAGCTTCAGCCTGTTTCTAGTGAATTGCTCTTGCTGGACAATGCACATTGACCTGCATTACTGCAATACATAGTTAGATAGCCTGGGAGTTTCTTCAAAAACAAAAACTTTATTGATGTTGTTATTGCCATTTACGGATACAGTATTTGACCTCAGACAGATCTTAGATCAGTTTAACCTGTTGTTTTACCTGTGTGAAGTCTTTAATAGTCTTCAGAATTTCATCTTTCTTGTTACATAAAAGACGAGAGGTACACATATTTGCAAGAGGTGTGATACCTCGGGACAGAGGAGATGCCCTGTCTGCAGCCTGCTGTGGTCTGTGTCCCTAGGAAATAAGTGCTGATGGTAGATGTCACTTGCTTTTTTGGCAGTGCCATGCAGTTCTTGTATAATAAAACTGGATGTTTCTCTGTGGAAATCAGATTTACATAAAAATGTGATTAAATGATTAAATTTTAATGAGCTGAGTTGTGAACCTTTCCTATTATGGTAGACTTCAGTCAGTAGGAGTTCTTTTGCTTGCTCTCAAGCATGTATTTTCTTGCACTCTTTGTGAAGGGAACAAATGTAGGGATTTGTGGGGCCTAAATTTTTAAAGAAAAGTATTCAAATGATCTCGAAACACCTAGTAGATATTAAAGCTGCTGGAATGGGACAATAATGCTGAATATATCCGTTTAAACATTAAATGTGGGTAAAATCTTAGTTCTCTGTATTTTGGAAAGTTAACCCTATGCACAATTGGGATTGTTTCCAAGATCAGCATTGTTTCCAAAACCGGAAAGCAGGAAAAACCTTCCGTAACATGAAAATTACTCTCTCATTAGTCTTCTATGTACAGAAAGTAAAATTTAATTTGTCTGTTTTATGTTGTAAGACGTAATTATCCCATTTTTTATTCTAGGATATCTTTCACTTATAGTTGCACATAAATTCCTAATGAAAAAACAAATCTGAGCAGTGATATAAAGCATGCCTTTCTTTTAAGGGTATTTTAAGAACAAACTGGAAAATAATACTCATTATTGACATCAGTTGTTTATACCAACTGCAACTTTTCACATCAAATGAGTTTGCAACTTGAAATCAAGTACAAGGCGTATCTTGCACTAATAGTTGAGTCTTAATGACACTTTCAAGTCAACTTAGGATCCCTTAGGATCATAGGAAACAAATGTTCTCCTTATTTCAGAATAAACAGTGCCTCCTTCCTCTGTTGAATTCCTTGCCAGAACTCAGAGACACTCCCGAGGAACATACCACATGAGTCTACTGTCCTCTCCAGAAAAGGCAAAGTCACCTAAAGATTTGCAATAACACAAGTAGACATGGTGGTTGGTGTTATCCACTGGAAAAACAGAAATCAGCGTTTCACTGAAGTCTTCATGAAAGAGAAGTGAGACTCATCTGTCTTTACTTATGTCTCAGATACCAAGGCCTGTATAGAGCGTCTCCAGCAGGTCGAGGGAGGTGATCCTGCCCCTCTACTCAGCCCTTGGAGGAGAGAAGGCTGAGAGGGGATCTAATCAGTGTCTATAAGTACCTCAAGGGAGGGAGTGCAGAGGACGGTGCTGGTCTCTTTTCAGTGGTGGCCACTGATAGGACTAGAGGAAATGGCCGGAAACTGAAACATCAAAAATTCCATAGGAACTTAAGGAAAAATTTCTTAACAGTGAGGGTGACAGAGCACTGGAACAGGTTGCCAAGAGAGGTTGTGGAGTCTCCTTCTCTGGAGATCTTCCAAACCCACTTGGACGCAGTCCTGTGCCACGTGCTCTAGGTGACCCTGCGTGTGCAGGGGGGTTGGACTAGATGACCTCTAGAGGTCCCTTCCAACCTTAGGCATTCTGTGATTCTGTGATTCTTCCCTCACAGCTGTTCTGTTTGTGCCTTCGCTGCTGCTTGCCTGTGTTCAGCTGTTACTGCATTTGCAGCACCTGGAGTTACCCAGCTTCACTCGGCCACTGTAGCCATCAGCTGCTCTGCTTTGTAAGGTCTCGCCCTGCAAACGGACCCAAATGCCTCCTCCTTGAAAAATGTTGTCACTTCCAGTAGTATTCTCCCTTCTCCCCATATGTTTATTCGTTCAGCTGCATGAGCAACAAGTATTATGGGGAAAAAAGAGCCATTAAGGAAAATGAGGTTGCAAATTCAGGAAAAGTGACAAGCATTTGGCATTAATTCTCATCTGCTTTTTTTTTTTTTTTTTCTCATGCGATGCAGTATTAAACATATTGGCACTGTTTCATATTGGCACTGTCTTTTTCCTTTTTTTGTATATAAAAAAATAAAAAGAAGCAGCAGTCTTACTTCCTGGCTTTCTTATACAGGCTTCAACCCTCTCTTGAGTTCCTCATCTGTGATGCTTGTCAGTCCAAAATCTGTTCCAAAATCTGCTTTTGATTGGAACTGGCGCTTCTGAAATGAGCCTGACCTCTTTCACCTTCTGTCAGTAACCTTGAGATATAACAGCACTGTTTCAAGTTAAAGTTCTGAATTGACTGGCACCCCTCTTTAGCCAGCCGGCTAAACAGGCTGAAAATCCTTCTATTCTACAGCAGTGAAGCCACAGTTTATGATGCAAGGAAGTATTTGCTTTCACTAATTGAAGAGTCCGGGTAAAAGAGCATACTTAAGAGGGAGAGAATAACATTTCCAAATGAGGAGAATAGAGCACGGTTTGAGCAGTGTCGTACCGCTTGTGGAAGAGGTTGGGGACCAGCCTGGTCAAGGCTTCTGTGCAGTATTTCACTAGTAGTTCAAGCTGTCAGTCCTCGTCAAAGGAATCCAAGTCATTGAAAAATAGTTTAATCTGGAGTTTAATTTGGAATTATTCATATCTTGTATAAATAATAAAGATTCTAACATGGCTCTTCTGAAAGCATTCCCAACACCTTTCCCAAAACTGTAAGCATTACTGTATCAAATGCAGGAGGCTACCATTATTTCCAATAAACCATATCCAGAAATCACACAGTTTTGTGTGACTACACATGACTGGTTTGCAGCAGTTTTGCCCTCTTCCACCCTACTTTTGTAGATACTGTGTCATTAGGCACCTTTGCTTATCTCCATCACCTTTCTTTAGGCTTTAAGTTCAACTTGGTTCAAATACAGCGTTCTTGTCTCCTTGATGTCCGCTGTATGGGTTCTCATCATTTCCGGAAGCGTTTGTTGTTGTTGAGTATTTGTTGCTTCGTGTTAGATTTGCGCTCTTGAACAATGTTGTTTTTCCAGGGAGATGGTCGCTCTGGCTGGGCAGCTCGGGGGACAGCTGGTGCAGACTTCCACAGCTGCATCCGCGGCTACGCGAGGGATGAGAAATAGCCTTCCTCTTAGGGGGAATGTTTGGTTAAAAGTCTTTGAAATTTCATAAATTTCATAGTAAGGGTTATTAAATTGGTGATACAATTTTTTTTTGTTTTGTTTTCCTAGACGTGCTGCTTTTAGTAGTTAGTGGTGACGTTTTCTCTCATAGTCTGGTGGGAAATAAGAGAGACTTTTAATAACTGAAAATAAAAACACAGTTGTTTCGTATCAGAGGGAAAACTGTGGTCATGAGATGCTCCTTAGTAACAAACCAAACCCCCACCAACTTGAGGGGGTGTTGTCACTATCAGTGCAAAGAGGCAAATATAGAGAGTGCGCTTCTCTTACGTAGTAGAAACCTTTTCTATATTCTGCATAATCGCACTGTAAACATTGGTTTGCTTTCATTAAAATGAGAAATAGGAGGTTATATAGTAGTCAACAAAATGTCATGGGAAAGTATCTAGGTGACCAATCTTTTTTCTCCTCTCAGAATTCTCCATTAATATGAAAACTTCAGAAATTTCTCAAAAATCCTCTCTTACTCGCCGAAGTTTATTATTCTCAAAGATCTTTATATCCAGCTTATTATTCTTTTTGACTTTCCTCCTTTCTCTGCACCAGTTTCAGGAAATGAGAGATTTATATCTTGCCCCCATAACTTAACAGTTTGTCAGTTCCAGCCACAATGTATGTGGGTAATTTCAGCTGAAGCAGCGAAGGCTGGAAGGGATATTTGTTTATGACTTTTTTTTTTTTCTCCTTAACATAAGCGAAGAAGAGTAATTGCATACAGCCTTCCTCTTTTTCAAAGGTTCCTATTGCACCCACACCCTCTCTCAAATAGAGCTTATTGATCATTCCTGATGGGCTGCAACAATACAGTGACTGTTCCAGTAATTCACTGGCTGGACTCGTTTAGCACGCGGCCTCACTTCATTAATATGGAGCGAGGTGGACTACATGCCGTGCTCTAGCCGCTGTCTGAGAACATGCACTCGAACAGCAATGGGGAGGGCTTTTTTTGAAATGTAAGACAAAATACATAGGTGAAGGTCGTGCATTTAAATTTACATTGCAGTAGCTTATTTTATGACCCGTGTGAGTCCTACGTGCCCCAGCAACAGTGGAGCTGTTCAGCCACTGGCGCTGGTCTCAGCGAAGAGGAAGATGCCAGGAAACATTAAGGCCTTCAGTGTGAGCTTGGCTGGGGTTGCGCACGCAGCAGCACAGGAGAGCTAGAACATGGGAGCCAGGATGTGCAGGAGAGGTGCAGGGAGTGCTGCAAGTGCACCAGTACTGCATGAACACATTTAAAATCAACTCTATTTTATATTTATGAATTAGCTTTATTTATATCAACTGATTTTGGCAGTACTTGAGATTGCACAAGTGTAAATTCTTGGGTTAAAAAAGTAACTGTACTCCCACATGTGCATAAAAAAAAATGTACTGGGTAGATCTGATGCAATTTATGCATTATAGATACTTTATCCCTGCAATAATACAATTAATATCCCACACAAACTCTCTTCAACTGCATAATGTCTCCACTGCATAAATCAGAATGAGATTTATGAAGACCTGAATTTGGGTCTTTGGACATATTCATTAGCGGATTCATAAAGCTGCTAAGCTCAGATGTAGTGCAGGCTCAGGTTTGCCCTCTAAGGGATGCATCTGATTTGTTTTTTTATAAAGATTCTGGCAGTGCAAGTCACTGAATTCCAATAGTTAAAATAAGAAGCAGTCTTTAATGTGTTTTCTGTGAGCTTGTGAGAAGGCATTTCTGGCAAGAGTGATGAATTATAGGCAGAAAAAGGGAGAACTGAGTCACATATACTGAAATCAACCTATTGGTTTAAAAGCAGAAAGGTATGAAAAAAATTTCAAAGGCACAGCTCTATCCTGGTGTCATTTAAAGGGATTTTTTTTTCTCCAGAGGATGATTTTCGTGTTTCTCAACCACTGCAGGGGACTGCTGTTCTATTTTGTTAAACCTTGGTAACTTCTGTCTAACGCAATGAGTTTTATATTCGAGCAGCTTTTTGGTTTTGAGCAACTGCTCCCATGTATTAAATTAAATATTGGTGTTCTACTTTAATTTAGTAAAAATAAGTAAAAACGGCATTCTGGATTCTCAGTGGTAGTAAACAGGCATAACCCTGTTAAAATGAATTAAGCTTTGTTACTTAATATTAGATAAGATTCGATTGGCCATCCTTATGTTAAATAATGTATAGGTTTTTAAAGTTGGCTTAAATAACACTGTAATTGGTAAATCCTGAAAATGACTGAAGCTAGGTCTCCTCTAGTGTGAATTTATTTGTTGCGTTGTTTAAATCATAACTGATTAAACCGATTAAATCAGATAGGAAAACTAGCTGTTGCAGATCTAAGCATTGAATTAATTTGGTCTGTGCTATCTCTGGTTGTGTAGCAGATATATAATGCTATGATACACATTTTTTTTATCTGCATAATCACAGCAAGCTCCAACCCAATGCCTTAGAAGGTTTGCTTTGTACAATATCATGTTATCTGCACATATCAAAGATATTTGTTAGAGAAAAATTGAATTCAAAAGTCAAGGATTATTTTTAACAGTTGTATTAAGACGGAATTTTCTAAATCATTTTATCTGTACAAAGCAAAGCAAAATGTGTGTTTATTATATAAAGAGATAAAAATCATATATTTAATATACTATTAATATTGCACACCACATGCTGCTGTTGTTTAAAAGTAAAAAAAGTTTTCAAAGTTCCTTCTTTTAAGAAGTTTCTTGCTCACGTGCACTCTGCATCCCAGCAGAAAGGTGAATCACTCTCTGCTGGAATAAAATAACTTTCTAACAGGAATATGTTGGTTGTGCATATCCTGCTTGTTCACCGTGTTTTAATATTGCCTATCTTGGGGTATTACTACTATGGTAATTTTGATGGCAAAACTCCCTATTTGAGGAGTCAAGAATCCATTTTGTGAGAGGTGGTTTTGCCAAATAAATTGCAATCTAAAGCCTTAAGGCTTACTGACCTTGTGGATGAATGTCAGCTGAAGAAGACACCAAGAAAGGGCAGAAGGAGTTGCATAGTCAGGGAAAGCTACTTGGTCACCCCTGAGCTCCTCAGGGGGTGGCATATTCATGTCCTTACATGATTTGGTTTTGCACGGTGGTGTTTCTTACGGTTTTTTCCCTCTTCATGGAAAGAGAGAGAACGCAGAGGTCTGACCAGGTAAAAATGGAAAATCTTTTCCCTCTGCAAGTTGTAGATTTACCTGGTAAGACATGTTGATCCATGTTCCTCTTCAGTAGGCTTCTCTTTACAACCCATAAAATATATGCAGTGAAAAGAGATTTTATGTCAGCCGTCTAAAACACTGTGCTTTTTGCCAATGCTATGACTCATCCATAAAGATTGTTCGCTTGAAAATGTGGTTGGAAGTGAAGGATCTCGTGAAGTACTTGAGAATGATTGCTTGCCACACGTACACTGATGTCTCTCTAAACACACATATATACGTGATGATTTCGTGTGTATATGTACATGATTTCATCTGAAATACCTCTCATGCATTTCCCTGTTGCTGACACTGTGACATGTCCTTTCCAACAGTGGGATGGAGTCGGACCTCTCCCGGACTGTGCAGAACCACCCAAAGGAATCCAGATGCTGTGGCACCCTTCAATAGTCAAACCCTACCTCACACTTCTCTCTGAGTGCTCAAATCCCGACACGCTGGAGGGGGCAGCAGGGGCACTGCAGAACTTGGCTGCAGGGAGCTGGAAGGTAGGAACTGATGGGGGAGTGTGTGTGTGTATATGTGTGGATATACCTATATATGTATGTAGTTTTGAGTTCAGAATCCTCTCCCACAGACAGCAGATTAATGAGATGAATATATGTGAGTGCTGCTCATAGTGGAATAACTATGCCTTTTCAGAGGACTGTCTGCAGTCTTGATTTTTGGATTGTGTTTTAAGTCCCTTGAGCTGGTAGTGACAATCCTACAGGAAAACCTGGCATACAGCAGGGAAAACCCCGCTGGTCTAATGAAGTGTGAAGAACTGCTGCTGAAAACAGATATCCAAATAAGGAGAAGCAACATCTTTATGCTGCGGTGACAAAGCTGTGAAAAAAGAGCCAAAAAATCACCAGTGACAATCCAGTGTAACCCTATAGGATTAACAGTGCAGAAGCTGTTTGACTTTCTGTTGCTTATGAGAATCTGGGTGAGAGCATAGCAAGGTGAAGTGCCACCAACATGAATAATCCCATCATCTACATTTCAAAATCCTAAGAAATTATTGAAATACTTTGTGTAAAATAAGCAAGGAAATGGCCAATCCAGGCAGGTGATGTAATTCTGTTTCTCAGTTATAATCAAAAGATCTAGTTTTCCATCCTCAATTATTTGCAGTGGATCCCAAACAAAATCTGTTATTTTATCAAGTTCCCTTCAAAAATCTCTAGTTTTTGATTTTTTTTCTCTAAGTTTAAAGCAATGGGGAAAATTTGTGATAACATTTGAGCCTGGTTTACTTTCTAGGACAATTTCTGTGTCCCTTTCATGATAGAAAATTGGTTTGATAAATTAATGCATAAATATAATGCATTGCTTCTAAGTTAATTTTCAGTGGGGATTTTTCATATTTACTGTGAAAAAAAATGCATATAATGGGGTATACAGTTTTTAAAGCTGGGTCTCGGTATCCAATTTGCTTTAAACGTTCGAACATTTGTATTAAACATGTGAGCACTGATTTGCTTAGGCCCTCATTTTGAAATGTCATCCCTGAGGCTAATAAACAAATTGTTATTCCATAAACTTTTATTGGAAGGTTAGTTGGCATATTCAGCAGATCTTCAGAGGCATGTAAATTTTTTGAGCATAATGTTTCACCAACTTATAAAATGCCTTTGACCGTGCATCCAGTGACATAATGAAATGAGTAACAAAATCTCTGCCTAATGATTTTGCCTTGCAAAATGCTTTGTACATACTATGCCTGAAGATCATTACAGTTTTATTATTCCCATATTAAAGACCACATCGTATTATGTAATCTTGGCACGGAGGCGTGGTACATGTGTTTTGTTCATCCGGGAATGGGTGTAGCACTGGTCCAAATGAGAAAATAATGTATGGCACATTTATGAGCACTAACAGGAATGCTAAAATCCAAACAGTGCCCTTTTCCCCATTTCTAATAAATCTGTGCTTGTTGTTTTTTAGTTGCCAGATGCATACTGTGAACTGGAGAGGAAGGAAAGCTCCGTAGAGCTCTTTTGTAAAAGATGTGTTAGAAAAACTGGCTTGAACTTTCTATACATTGGTGTCATGAGGAAGGCTTGGCTGTTCTCTTCTTGCTCTGTTTTCCTAAGGATTCATCAGTTCCATTACAACCGATGTGCAGACACAGAAAGAATATACTTAATTTCACATGTCGTACTAGCCATTTCTGTGAGGGGAGTAATCCTCTTTGGGGATTACATAAGCATTGATGTTTCCACCTTTTGACCTCTCTTTTCCACCGCTGCAGTCTCTGGACATAAAACGACTGAAATAAAAGATAGCAAACTCTTAAAGGAAGACATTATTCCTAGGGGAGATTTTTATTTTCTGAATTTCTGAAGGAATTGTAATTGTATAAAGATGAGGAGATTATTTTTGCTTGAAATCTTTCAAGAAGAACTTTGAACAAGCAGTTTGAACTGCATGAGAAAGTGAAAGAGAGAAAAAGAAGAAACCATATAAAAATAAATGGTGTTGCTATTGCTCTCAGTGCTCATAGCAACTGTGGATGATTCTTCTCTTTTTTTAAATGCCCTTATTTTCATGACAGATGAATCCCAGACAGTGTGAGGTATTCAGCACTGTGCATGCTCCCACACTTCACAAGGTATGGTCTCTTCTTGAAAAAAATATAGTGCAGTTCTTGTCCTTACATGATTCTTTTCTAACTGATTGGTCCTTTTGGTTCCTCTAGATAAAAAGCTGTCTAATCTTCTTCAGTGACAAAGAAGTAACACTTTTAAAGCGGGCAATGCTTAACCAATGTCATTATGAAGGGGAAGTGGGAAGATAAAAAGAAGCCTAGAATAAGTTAAAAAAAAAATTGTCTAAGGGATTTAGATAAATGTCTGCCATTAGAATTAACCATTGATATGTGTCTAAATCCCCTGGACTAGTTTTGAAAATTTCCAATACAAAGGGAAAGCAGCAGGGTATATGTAGCTTTAAGGATTAAAAGCTGAGAGGAGCTGAATGTGGGACAAAATGGTTTTATTCCAGAGAATACGGTGATGTGTACATATAATGCCAACATATGCACGTGTGGAAAGGAATAAATCTTAGCTTGTAGGACATTGTTAGCTCTGTTACTTGCAGCAATTCCTTGTAAAGCCAAGCACTGCAGAAGAAATAACAGTGAATAAAAAAGGTGGTGCATATGTATATTTGCACAACGTTTTTCTGGATCAGGGTGGAACACTGCTTGGGCCCAAATCTTGCCATGTATTATCTGTATGTTGACTAAATCAGCTTCTCATACAGTGGTTAATAGAATATATTGTCTTCATTTAATTGCTGTTAGAATCAAGACAAACCTTAATCAAAAAGGAGTGTATTGGTAACAAGTGTGTTAACTGGTCCAAATGAGGTAACTTACCGACATAAAAAAGTGATTTTGAGCTGAGGTGTGATAAAGGATGTTTTTGGTGGAGAGTTTAACCTGTGATAGACCACAGTTGTATATCTTCTGGTTACAAAGAAAAATGAATAGATTGGCAATTTATATGCGAAGCAGAACATTTGGGAAGGGCCTATTTCAGGTAAAGCTGAGTGTTATTTCAGGATGCTAGTAACTCTACAGTTGAGATGGTGCGTTTCCTCACTGATGGTGCAAAGCAGTTTTGCAACCAACCATTTGTATTGGAAGGACACGAAGAGTTTTACTTCCTTGTTCTTGCTCTTCTGCATCAAAGCATTGATCCATAGGGAGGACTGAAGTACTGGAGTCTGAAAAGAGCAAATCTTTTTCTTTCTTGAAAAGTGGCGTGCACCTGCTCACAGATCTGTCTTGCTTTGCTTTATGTATCATCTGATGCATCTTTGTATGTTATGAATGGCCTTCCTGGAATAACATATATGGAGATGTCCAAATGTGTGTGCTTAAAATGACAAGAGTCATCCTAAAGGAAAATCTCCATAGATGTTTTTGTACGTAGTCTGGAATCAATAATTTTCCCTGGCCAGTAAGAAGAAATGAATGGTGAGTTCTTAATTTTAACCTTGGTCAATAGGCTAAGCAACAAGTTAAACTACTCAGCGTGTACAAAGTTACATTCAAATATGCGTATATTCCTATATGTAACAATATCAAGACTCCAAGTTTATGTCCTTTATGAACAAAATTTTGCTCTCAGTAAGAAAGGAGATATCACAGGGAGTGGGAGCCTGTTTATCTTTTATCTGACAGCTAAATTTGCACTGTTGGCACTTTACCTGCTGAAGATGTTTCAGCAATACTTATTGCTGTGATCTCATAACTTACAAGATCTTTTTTTTTTCTACTACACATGGTTAAAAAACAGTGCTGTCACCACAGCTAGGATTTACTTAGTTTTGACAAACCATTAGAAAAATCATTCATATGATCCTGATATATATAAACACAGGCACCAAGAGCTAGTCTATCTCTAACGTAATGCCCAAATTAAAACAAGCGCTAAACCTCCTTGGAGCCTTTGTGGGGCCCTTCTGTGCTTCTGCTGCTGTCTCAGTTGCTGTTCAATCTTTACAGACTCCCCTTGACTGCTGAGACGTGCAGCCTTCGTTTTGCTGAGTATCCATTTGGTCCTTTCTCTCCGTAACGTTGGAGCGGGACGGCGGCTCTGCGCGTGTGGTGCTGTAGAGCAGGACCGCTGTGCTCCTCAGGGCCTCGGGAGGACATTTTGCCCCCTTTCTTTTCCACTTCCACCTTTACCCATGCTTAGCCAGGCATGGTGACACTCTCTCGACAAGTGGCTTGCTTGTCCTTGCCTGGGATCCACAACAGGTACAGTGGCCTCATCTCATAAAACAGTTCTCTGTGCCTTAGGCACTCAACTGCATCTGTTTTCCAAATTTCATCCTAGAGTAATTTGAGTCTCATAGCAAAAGATTCAGCAAATTGTTTAGATAAAGAAGCTGGAAACATAACAGGGACCGATTCAGTCACATGGTCAATGCAGCTACTTCAAAGAGCAGCAAGAAAAGAGTTTCTAGCTCCTTGCCATCCAAATACTTGCAGAGAATGAAAAATTGTTGTCTAAAGTAGCAGCCATCTAGCTTAGTATCTTCTCTTATCAGGCCAGAACATATTGTGGGTTCTTTGCCAAACTTCACTAATTAATTATTTGCATATTGACCCTTTAGAGTTTCATCAGACTATTCTAGGAGGAATTATTTGAATTCCAAAGAAAAGGCTTTCATTCATTTTCTCCAAAATACTCGTACTATGAATTCTTATATTATAGAGCAGAGATCACCACTTGTAATAACTCTGTAACTTAGCAAAGGCAAACTTTCTAAAGAAGCAATGCATTAATCTGACAGGAAATATTAGCTGGATAGGATTCCCAAATCCCAAACAGGGAAACATACTGATGCATCTCCTGTTAGCTCCATTGTATTTTTTTTTTCTGTGTATCTTCACCCACCAGTTTTCTCCTTTCTCTTTAAACTTGACTAAGCTCATGGAACAAGAGGAAAGTAACCTGTGAAGATGTTCCTCCTGGACGGGCAAATCCCAGGCTGTTTTCCATAGTCCCAGCACAGGGATGTCGAGCAGTTCGTGGTGGCCTCCTGTGTGGAATCGTTTCTGAGAAGGGAATGCTGCAGTCAGGGAGCTGGGAGTCCCTGTAGAAGCTCCCTTTCCTCACGTATTGTAAAAAGAGGAATTCCCAGAGCCATGTACACTCATGGGACGGGACTCCACAATGTGGAGCTAGCTGGGGGGAAAAGTAGATCTGTAATTTTTTAACTGGAGTATAAAAATATTGCTTTTACCTGTCAGAGCCTTTCTAAACCTCTCCTGTGAAACTGAGTCTCTCTAATCTTCCTGATACTTTGTTTTTGTCATGCTGCTGCCTTGATTTGGCTTTGATTTTGTGGCTTGTGTCTTAGCTGTTCCCCTTACCACCTGATATCTGTATAGAGTCTTTGAGTCAGAATGTGGAACTGTAGCTCTACAATGCAAATTCCAGTTGAAACTTAAGTGCATCCGATGTCCAAATAATCTGGAGGTACTCAGATAATGCTGATGTCAATGGGAGGAAAAGTGAATCCATTAAAAATATCAGGTTCAATGGAAAATATCTGTTCAGTTGTTGCCTTTTTTCTCCACATAATTAGTTTGGGCATCTGTGAAGGTGCTTAGTGGAAGACTAAAGAAGACTAGAATAGTTAATTGCTTTTTTTTTTTTTCCTAAAAAAAAAGAATAATTTTAGCTAGATGAAGTATTTTTATGTAGACTTGCAGCCTAATGTAATCTTAATCCCTGAAGGCATTCCGCTCCTAAAATGGTCTTCTGTAATAATAACTATGACAAACCAAGAAATAATTTTCTGGATTCCTGTATTTCTCTTTTTAATTATCGTGACAAAAATAAAGAAGAAACCACTAATGACAGTGGACATTGAGATGCACAAGATATCTTCAAAGTGATGTATAGTAGTTATGCTCCACAAATTCAATTACCTGTAAAGAGTATTTGGTCACAGATTATGGCTCCTGTGCCTGTCTCTGGTAATTCAGCTGCAATCTCATGCAATAATAATTTTTTTTGGCTTCTTGTTCCCTCTGAAGTGTAGACTGTTCCCACAGGAGTCCTTTTTCTTTACAAACTGAACAATTATTTGGTCACTGACACTGCCACTGATTTGTGGAGTAACAGGATGATTAAGTATATTGGCAGAATGTCTCATTTACAGAGAGGCAGCAATCCCTTGGACTCTTTTCTTTTTTTATGATTTTTAACGTCTGCCTTTTATACCTCACTGAGCTCATCCTAGCAATTGAACTGCAATGTGGAAATGCAGGAATGTTTCACGATGCCTTTAGGCAAACAAAAGAACCATCAGCATACACAAGAAAGAGTGAATCAACTTTTCCATTCTCCGAGAGAACGAAATAAGGGTTTTGCAGCAGCACTCCGACGGCAGCATTCCTGAAATGCAGGCAGCGGGCGCAACTGCTTCGTCCTAGACGGCACTTCGGGCAAGGAGACACAGTTGCTTCTCAACTCTTCCCAAACACAAAGTTCTCCAGAGGGTTTTGAAACAATTAAGCAACATTTCTGTATATCTCCCTGAGATGAATGTCTTAGAAAAACAGCTGTAGCACTGGCAAATCACAGAGACAAGCCTGTGAGTTTCTCCAAAGCGGATGGCATTGCTGTTCCCAAAAAAAGTGCTTATGCGAGGCAGAGGAAAAGGAATGGACAGAGTACACGAGAGATTTCCCACATGCTTCTCTCGCTTTCTCCCGTTGTTTTATGTACATGTGTGCATATGTGCACCTTTAAAACATTATATCTGAATTTTTCCTTTATGAAAACTTTGGAGCTGTATTATAGACTACTGTGATCAAATTAATGGCTGCACTACAAGTATTGAAGACTTGCATGTCATTTATCCAGAAAGAGGTAGTTTCTCTTGTTTCATTCTCCGTTGTTCCAGTGTTTTTCCTAGAGTGTCTTTTGCTTTCCATAGGCTCAAAAAAGCATTTCTCATTTTGTTTCCTAAATCTGCTTGTTTCTTTTAGACTTAGAATGGGTGGTGAAAATAACTAAGGAGTTTGTTGTAATCTTTTCATAAAACATTCATTAAAAAGTCCTTGTGATTTCCCTTCATAGTTAACTAAAGAAATTCCAAGGGGAAAAGTTTACAGGGATTTTTGTTGTACTGTGAATAATCAAGGACATCTTAGATCGTCTCTGGCGTTGAATAGACATAAATGTGATTTTTTTACTATTGTTGCTGTTTTTTAAACAGTCCCACTGATTCCCCAGGCAATCCACACTGAAAGCGGTAAATCTGGGAGGCAATTTTACATTGAATATCAGCATCTCACGATGAACAGACTTCTAGCTTGACCAGACCAGCTTGCTAGGAGTGTCCTCCCCATCTCCGTGCCCGCTCACCCCGTGGCTGTGTCGCACAGTGGAGGCCTCCCCTGGGTGAGGCCTCGAAAACCCAGAGGTGGAAGCTTGTAAGTGCAGAGAGCCACCGCTCTGCACACCCCTAGCTGCAGATGACAGCTAAGAAAGAAGCTTAGAAACGTTAATTTGGGGTTTTCATTACATCCGTTATATTTAATAACCATTAAGAAATAAATTATTTTTATGTGCGTACTTTCAGTTGAAGTCACTGATCATTAAGATTCATTTTAATTGTCTAATGATTCTTCCTCCAAGATGAAACCATACACCGGTTGTAGAGAAAAGACTAAAGGAGAAAAGAGGCCAGAATAAGATCAATCAAGAATCCTTCTGCAACTTGTTTATTTTCCCTCTCCTTAGAGCTATGCATTGCTTTGCTGCAGAAATTGCGAGCACATTTACATTTTAGACACATTATCTTATTGTGCATGATGATGCTGAGAACCTCACGTCCCATTAACCCGAAAAGTTACTCTAACCATTATCGCTTTTGTCTTAGCACAGTCTTCATGCTCCATCCAGCTGGTTGATTTTGTTATGCACTGTTACTATAGAGAATAGTCATACAATATTCTTTATGTGCTGTTACGTACTGGTTTCTCTTGCCTTTTCTTGATTTTCCCTGAATGGCATTACCTAAAATAAGTTTGAACTCCAAATATTGCAACTCCGCAGACCTTGCCTACTTCTCTATATGCTAATGTTACTGTAAAACATGTTTTGGCTTTTGCAGTTTGGGCACTTGTCTGTAGTATAGGCTTTGAAGAGGGTAGTTCACCTGTGTTTGCTGAGAGCCAGAAGTGGAGTTTAAAGATACACTTCCTTTCCCAGTGAAGTGTATTTTCCATTTCCTAAAGCTGTATTTTGTGGAATTTGGAAGGTTTGTGCAATTAGCACTAGAAGCATGAATGTGCATGACATGCACTTGTCATATGAGAAAGCAAACTTTTAATGTAATGTATATTGTAATATATAATATGGTACAATATATTATATTCTGTTCAATTATATTGTGTTTATTATAAATTAATAACTAATTAAGTTTAATCAATAGTTTATCATATAATATAAACAGGAAGAGCTAAGACTCAAGAAATATTTCCAGGGAATTCAGGTGATTTGCATAATCCACTCAGTTTTCTGGAGTTCTTTTAAGATAGCTAGCTACATGCTTACAAGAGGTTTGTATTTACATAAGGAGTATGTCTCAAATACAATAATTATCCTTCTAAGCTGATGCGCACACCCAGAGCTAAATGAACGGGTACTATTACACACTATAGAGGAACTGCTGATGTGAAACAAGTGTTCTGCAGACTTGGTCTGTATAATTTTAAGTGAGTGTGCTAAGATTAAAGTCAATTCATCATTTAATGCTTTTGCCACCACACACAAAAAAAAATGTGGGTTTCCGTATCAGGTGGTTGCCCACCAGCAGCAACACGATAATTCCCTGTCTTTGGAGTTTACATCCACATGGTTCTTTCAGCCTTTCTCTGTAGCTCTGAGAAGAAGCCCAAGGCCCTTGCTGGCTGTAGAGGCTCTGTCCCTGGGGTGCTCACGCTCTCTGCCCTGTCTCCACAGTGGTCGGTGTATATCCGTGCTGCCGTGCGCAAGGAGAAAGGACTGCCCATCCTGGTGGAGCTGCTCCGGATAGACAACGACCGGGTGGTATGTGCGGTTGCTACAGCTTTACGAAACATGGCCTTAGATGTCAGAAATAAAGAGTTAATAGGTATGTACATTCCAAACCATTTATATGTTCCGTGTTCTTAGTTTACAGCAGGATGAGCACGATGGAAGCTATTCTTCCTCGTTCTAGCAGAATTCCTTTAAAACTTGTTCAATATGCCCTGTTCGTATTTTATGTGATAGCTCAATGTGTATTGCAAATTGTGTTTAAAGCCAAGTAAATATCATGTAACATTTTATGATTTGTCGCGCTGTAATATCCAGAAGAAAGGCAGAGGCTTTTGTTCTGCTTCAACCCTTAAAATATCCCTTTCTAATTTAACAGCTTTTAAATTAAGGCTGAGTTTTTCCTGGCCCGTATTCCATTCATATGCTGATAACAGAGTAGCACTTGTATCTTCCAGATCAAGGATCTAAGCTGGGCAGCTACTCCTGATCCCCATATAATATTGGAGAATATGAAATGTCAAATCATAAAGACTTTAAAGATGGTGCCAGGAATTTACTGGCAGCTTAGCAGCTCCAGCAAAAGAACTAGCACACACTTAATTCATAAATGCATCTGTATTTTGGAAGAAAACTGCGGCTCACATGACTCATTATGGTATCTAAATTCTTTTGGGATAGTAAGGAAAATTCTAAGGTTTTCTGGTTTGGGATTTTTGTTTTTAACTGAAATTCATTCAAACATTACCGAATTTTTAGTTTCATATTCTGTCTTTGAAAAATAGTCACTGCCTTTGTTTTGGATTATTTCAACAGCCTTGACCAATTATTTCTTACTTCCTCTGTACTTTAAAAGTTTATTTTTCTTCATTTATGCTGACTTGTTAATTTATTATTGTTGCAATACTTATGCTCCTATGCTTTTAATCACAGAGTCCTGCAATCCTAGTGCTTTATTATTTGTATCTCAGGGCTAGTGGTTTGTTACAGTAGTGTCATGCAAGTCCTTAAAATATAGCCATCGTTCGCCTCATGTATTGTACACAACAGAGAAAATTTGCTGGCAGAAGGCTGTAAAGCAAACCGAGTCAGAGATTGGCAAATCATGTGAGCCTGGTGTGGTTGTTGAGGAATTGGGCTCAGGTTTACTGCCTTAGCTACAAGACCAGCTTTTGCTTGTGTTACAGTTGATAGGATTGTTGAGAAATTGGATTTGTTCACCGTATTGTGTTCAGCTTTCAGGAAGCAGGATGTGTATTCTCAGTGTTGCGCTGTTTCCTAGCATTTTTGAAGCAGACATAACTGCTGAAGAAAGTATATCAGACCACCTGATCAGTGCAAGCAACAGACCATTCCTTTTTTTTTTTTTTCTCCTTTTCTTGTGATCCTACCTCTACTTTCAGCCTTCAGTATGTCTTAGTCTTTAATATTTAATATCTGATTCCTTCATATATGGGACTGCCTCTGAGGGGTTCAGCAACCACCACTTCAGGAGCTTAGCATAGAGCATGCATACTGAGTTGTGTTCTCCCTAATTACAGACATTACAAAAAGCTTTATGTGAAGTTTACAGATTTCAGCTGTGGTTTGTAATGGCATGGACTGGGCCATTGATTTTGTTGCCTTTTCTGGGCTCCAATTTTTCTTGAAACGTTTTCCTTCCCAAATATGCACATTTCATTTGAGACAATAAACCTACACATATGAAGTAGATCTGTCCTTTAATGAGATGTGCCATATACAATACTTTGATAAATTTTGGATAACAAGACATAGCTTGTGTAAGCCCCAAATATTACTGTTTTCTGGAATTTTCAAAGAACATGCAGTGTAAACAAACACAAATTTTTGAAAGGTGGAAAAAAGTTGAAAATAATGATCTAAAAATGTTTTTTATGTAGCCAATCTGTAATGGCAGTGCAATGTTGCTCAGATTGAAGGTATCATAGGGTTATTCTGTACAACTCTTGACATTGTACTTTATAACTGGAATACAAATTTATTGCAGGTTATAAAAAGTGTAATTTTGCCAGTAAGCTAGGAGAGGAAGCTGTGACTCTAATTCCTGAACTATCTTCATTTTTTCATTTTTTGGCTTTCTTCTTTCAACTGGAAGGAAGGAAACAGTAACAGTGGTCACTTTCTCTTGTTCTTGCATTCCTTGTAACATACAGGTAGTATCATAGATCCCATGTTCAAAAGTTCTGGACACCTGCAGTTGGCAGGGATTTCGGCTCAGGTTGTCTGTTTTTATGAACATTTAAGTTCCACCTGTTTTAAGATATCTTAACTGTTTTTCTGGAAAGGAAGACAGAGAGGTTGTTGTTAGACATTTAAGCATCTTTTTGCTTAAGCAGAATCAGCATCCTTTTTCTTCTTCCTCATTTCAATTTCTGTTTGTGAATCATATTCTTGGAGTGAGTCACAACCCTGTCTCACAAATTTGCAGTTTTCTGTTTTTAGATTTTTTTTTAAAGGTGACTAGTCTATCTGTGTATGTTGTAAAGATTATATATGTAGAACCGCATTTTTCTTGAAATAAATCTGTAAAGCTTCCTTTGCATTGGTGCTCTGGCTCCGTTTCCAGCCGCAGCTTTCTACTGAAGTATGCCAGAGAACGAGGAGTTTCTTTTTCATCCTGCTGGTGACAGGCAGCCCATAAATCACTGTTGAGGCAGCTGGCAAATATATCAGCTTGCAAAGGTTTGGACTGACCTGTACCAAACTACAAAACATACAAATAAAAAAAACCCTTTTTTAAATTACCAAAATATTCTTTCTTGACTTTTTCTGCTCGCTCAAAGTATTTTGTTTTCCACCAGTCAATTAAGTATGTTGTTATATTGCTGAAGTTTGGTGCCAGACTTCTTCTCTGATAATTTATCTGAGCCATCCCTATTCAATATTTTCCTCTTATAGTGAGGCCGCCTTATTCGTTGTCTTTTAGTGCATACTCCATGTGCTTGATATAACCAGAGAGTTGTTTTTCTTCTTTTTCTTCTCCAGGCCTTCTGAGCTGTGTTTTCCCTAGTTGGAGGTTGAGACACAGGGCTGGCCTGTTCATCTTTCCTCTTTCTGAAACTGAATCCTTCTTAGACCAAGATACACTAAAATTGGTCTATTGGGACTGACATTAGATAATCTAGTATCTGGTTAACACAAACATTTTCTAGTATGTTAAGTAAACCTCCTATAGTTCCTGAATCAGTCAATTTAGGCACTTCATCTTTCACTTAACCTTCTATTCATTCAGGAGGCCATCTCATTCAGACTCAGAGAGGCAGCATTAAACCTAGGCGTTTGATCATCATCTTGGGCTCTCAGAACCCTTTCTTATTGCTATGAGCCTCATGTCTGTGCTGCAAGTGCTCAAATCCTTTTGTACCCAGTTTCAGCTGTAGTGTCTCTAGAAATATACCGCTTCTTTTATGCTCCCCAGCAGGCTTGACATGGGTCTTGGCAGCTGAGTGCCTGTGCTGGCTGAATCCTCCCTGGAGGACGGGACGATGGCTTAAGACCTCCGCTAAGGTTGCATCTCTGCTCTGCTCTGCTCTTCTGTGGAGCTACAACAGAGGCCTCCGAGTCAGCTGAAGAACAAGACAGCTTTAGTCATTCACTTAGATAAAAAAAGATTCACTTTTGCCCTACAGATCCTCCAAAGACTGTTTACAAGCTCTGTGCTATTATGTCATTTTGTGTAATTTTTTTTAATAATTGTTCTTGAGTTGGGGGCTACAAGGTGACAGTACTGAATTATTCCCAGTTACTGCTGCATCTGTTATGATCAAGCTGTAAGATGTAATGCACAAAATTCAAGGATAGAGTTTCAACTGTCTTGTTATTCAGTGTGTTGGAACCTGCTTAATCTTGCTAGGCATCTGAAAACTCAGTGTCCAATCTCAGATACAGGTGTTAGGCTCTCCCGTAATTGAGTGAAAAAGATACTCCAAGAATGTGATTTATTTCATCTAAGATACAATAAACTAGATCTCACCTTGTATTATTGTCCAAGTATTGCTGAGTGATGAAAAAAGTCTAGGGAATGTGTAATTACCAGGGAGTGTATATCTTGCCATTTCATGAGCAATGTCTTTGTATTTGGATATATGAAATAACTGGATTTTGTTTCAAAGTTTTATTGCTAAACTTAATGTTCGATAGAAATGCATATCAGGAGTTCACAACTCTGATGAATTGTTAGACTCACAGAATAAGCCAGGTTAGAAGGAGCCTCGGAAAGTCATCCAGCCTAGCCTTGTACTCGAAGCACTGTCAGGTAGGTTATTTCAAAGTGTGATATTGATTCTTGTTTGGAAAAATTTCTTCTCAGTTGCAGGGCTGGAAATGTGTCAAAAACAAATACTTGCATTCTTACAACAGAGTATAACTCTTTGGAAGCGTAGATAACTACAGCATGTAATCTGTATGCTGTTTTCCTATTCTAGAAAATCACTGGTTTTAATACTATAGTTGTGTTTCAATATTAGTAATAATCCAAGTGAAAATAGTGTTATTTTTTCTACTTACAAGAACAGCATCTATAAGTCCTAGTAATGTACACTGATAGCGAATATAAAGATGGGAGATGCTTAGGTCAAACAGGTAGCTTTCATCCCACTTAGAATGACTGCATGTATTTTCATCTCCTTTTTACATATGAGCACTTCTGGATATGATAGACATACCTCTGCAAGGATCTGAAAGATACTGTTGGGTTTTTTTAATTGAATTTTTAATTGACTTACAGTAGCTTAGTCTCTGTAATCATAAATTGACATTACACAAGATGCCAGAAGTCGTTAAACACAAATTGTACATACTTGTTCATAAGAAGCTAGAGGCAGAATATATGCAATTTGTTTAATTTGTACCCATTTTTTGCACTTGATTTGCTTTATTTAATAGTTGAGCTGCGCAAAACATTTTATGACAAATACCTGAAAAAGAAGAGGCTGTTGTCAACAAAACAAACAGGAGATATGGTCATGAAGAAATTGCTTGTGTTTCTTTCTCTACAACAGTAAAGGCAAAGATATTAGTTAAGATGATAAATACTTCATTAGGCTCTTTAATTTCTAATGATGTATACGTAAGTTA